TTTTATATGCATTTATACTCTCGCACATTTACATTTGCGCTGCAACAAAAGCAGCTCATGGGAAAGTTGAAAAAGCACAAGGTAGCAAGCAGCTCATTCTGGTGGCCGCACAAGAACAGGCAAATCTAAGTTACAGTCAAGACCGTTGGAGACTGTATCGAATCTGATAAAAATTTGAAATCAGCTTTTTTTAGGAACTTCACTACAAACTAGCTGAACGAATAAATAGCTACTTATATGCGTATATTGGTTTTCGAAGTTTTTATTAACTCAGGTCGCGTGTAGGAAAACAGCTTAACATTACGAGGCCAAACTGTGCACTGGATAGGCGCACAATTTTGTGTCTGTGTGTTCCTGGATTCCAGAGACAAGTCTTTAAACATGTTAAAAATTTGTCGGAACAATCAAAGGAAAGTAAAGAACAAAAGAAGAACAAAGGGAGCGTCCTTGTTGCGGAATCCGCTTACAATGCACAAATATAGCACAGTTTGGCCTCGTAATGAAGTAATCAAGGAGTTACTAAAAAACAAATAAATTTGCATGCCACAACGAGTGTGATATCTACCAAATCAAGAATTCTGTACAAAATACCATGTTTAGCCAGGCGATGCATAAGAGCTCTGCGGGAAATACTAATTGCTCGCTCATTTCGCAAATCAAAACCCACGCTAAAGTCGGCACTAAGTGAAGTAAAGCTTAGCATTCAACAACAAATCACCAATCAATGGGATTTTCGCCATTCGAGGCTCATGTTGACCAAAAACTGTATACAGGTTGATATACAATAATGGAGAAAATTTGTTGTTGATTTTTTTTTCATTGAATAAACACAAGAAGACGTTCTCAGTGATGAGTGTCATGCAGAAATAACACCTACTGGATGATGAACCGATCATTGGGATAGAAGTTAAAATCGAGCACCCATTGGTAGTGGGGTCATCAGCCAGTCAATTCCAGGGCGCGACCGGAGAAGGATTATACAGAACAAAACGACACTTGAAGTGCCAGTTCCGACCTAACTGAAAAAGGTTACAAAATATTAATGAAAAAAAGGACAAAATAAAACCGAAACCGTACTTCCAGTTGTTAAAAGAGAAAGTTGTTCGAGAAACAGAGAATATAATCACTTTAACTTCGCAAAAAAAATGTTTCATAACCCTGACCACCCAATTGAAACAATAGTCGGAAGCATGTGAAAGGGATTGATCCGGGAAAAGTCGCACCTTTTAAGGCTACCACGAAATTGCTAACGGAAACACCGTCTACTGTAACAATCAAAAGTACTCAAGGAACAGTCACGGATTCGATCCAAAGAAACACCTCCTCCGATAGGCTAATGTTATTGTAAAACCCGTGGCCATTCGCCCAAATGTAGCGGAAACGATTTCTAGTCTAGGCCAAGGGCCAAAATCGGAAAAACTTTCAAATCCACTTATCAAATCGAAGGCGGGAAAGTTTGTTCCTTATTTGAGTTGCGAGGATGGTTATGCTTAGAAAAGAGAACTCACGCAACGAAGGGACAGAAAAGCCCAGTGGTGCTTCGATTGGCTGAGTAAGTCGAGCAAGCGGATCAAATTACAAGGCGAGACACCTTTGAATTTGTAACGCAAGATATCATTCACAAATCAAACTCGTCAAGAAAAGAGGAAGATATTACATCCATTTCAGAGCAAGTAAGGATAGAATCGTCGGGAACCACACCAGAGGAAGTCTTGAACATGTACCGGGCACAAGCAGTCAGATGAGTAAGAACCGAAAATTCAACCTGGATTTTTGTCGGACCGCCTGGATTTTTGTCGGAACGATTTTTCGCCATAGCGCTGTATTCGTAGAGACAAAAATAGTGAATCTCGTTTCTATGAAGGAAAACTTTGACCAGGGTAGAAACGAACTGCCATTAGCAGCACCGGGGGGGGGATTGCAAATAAGATGAAGAGTACTGGTCCGAGGAGAGTACCTAGACCGAGAAAACAAAACGCAGAAGATGCTTAATTCGAACAAGAAATGTGCTGGTTTTGCTGTTGGCAGAGTATGTAAAGGATGAATTTCATGGACTAGGCGAGGACGTATCCGCGCATCATGCGGGTGTCTTGAAAAAACTGAGGAGGGTAGTGAAAGTACAAGAGGCTTATACCAAATTTAAAAAATGGATATCAATCACGTGCCTTACGAGGGCTAGAGGTGCGCATTTTAAATAGCTGAAAGAACTTGACCTTCGAATCCATCAGGTTTCTGACTTCAAAGGCTTTTCAAAAATGTTGCGGAATCCAACGCAAATTATGCGGATTCCAGGGACAGTGTTTGCGGAATCCAAAACACTACCTAAGTACCCGAGCTTGGCATCGTAATGTTGGGCAGACTTGTAGATATTGCTCAAGCGAAAAAACAGACTAGACTTGAGGCAATCGAGAAACCAGAAAGCTAACTTCTAGACAAAATTTTGTTCACAATAACATGACGAATTCGGGCCAGAAGAACAGAAGAACAGATATTAATGGCAAAAACTAATGTGTCATCGGCTACGAGCGGAGGTACTAAAATACCATCTGTTGTCGTCGGAAAACCAAACGCTTCGGGAATTACGATGATGAAAAGGACCACAGACTATATCAACTAGAAGTGGTAATGTAGTGAAGACCAGTTTTTTTTAAATACTATATACTTAAGTAACAACTTTATGAAAAAAAATTTCAGTCAGCAAGGTCTGATTCAGTGTCAATACCAGCAGATACTGTTAAAGTAGACACGTTACCGAACTTGTTCTAAGTTTATTTTTTTATTCTGGTAAGTTTAAGGTCTTAAAACATCCACATTCTAGACTGAAGTAGTTTATTTAGCGAGCTGTACTCAAACTTGTTATTTTTGCGTCTAGAAGTTTCACTTTAGGTAAATATTGCAGCCAACTTTGGTCAAACTCTACTAAATTTAAAACCAAAATTCTAGTGAGAGCTGGTCCTTAACACTATCATTGCCATGGCAAGATATCGATTAAACAATTTGACGTTTTTCAAGTGCAAGCATAACCAGTATGCCAAACAACCCTTAAAACGCCCTTTATAGTTCAACTGTTTTGAAATTGTCTGAAGAATAATTGTTCCGACTTTCGAAGATTTTTTTAAATCAGACCAATTCTCATAAATATTTCCATCACGTAATCGATCAATGGCTCTGTGTGTTTTTAGAAAGGGCGCGCTCACCACTAAACTATCCTGAATTACTGATTGCTGTGAAACGCTCTCTAAAATATTAATCTGACAATAAGAGCGCTGTGACACTTTGATGCTAAAAATATAAAGCGCATTATTCACGCGTGGCGATTTATCCCGCATCACAAAAACGTTCCAAAATCAATTGAGGCAGGCTAACTGGTCTTCTTAATTTCATATACGATTCTTAATATTCAGCTCAAATTTCATAGTTCATCAATGTTTAAATCATCAAAAACTATTCAAGACCAGTTTCTGGACAGTCGAAACATTGAGGGCTTTGCCCTGTTACGAGCAGTCTTGTTGTTCCCACTTTCGTAACGAAAGTAACGGAACATTTGTGCTCTGGGTGAGTTTTTTTTGTCAGGAGAAAAATCCGACTTTTTAATTAGCCAATTTTGACGGAATTTTTTTATATCATTCATAAGGTACTAATGTCATAAGCTTGAATTTGAAATTTTTTTAACCTGTGATCATTTTTGTAAAGTTATGGGGGTTTAAAGATTGCCATTTTGACCAATTTGGGACAATTTACGCGCGTAATATTTCGCGCTATCAACGCGTAAGCGGAGATTTAATCCGTCTTGGAAATTGTTCCAAATTGGTTCTTTGGAAGATTATATGCCATAATTGATTTGTTAATAGGAGCAAAATCGGCTCTTTTTTCTTCCCCCACCTGCAAAAATTTGTTCACATCATCCGAATGTTAGAAAAATTGGCATGCGAACTAATTCGGCCATGGCAAACGTATTTGGTCTTCATGCATGTTTAACCTTGTAAAACCACTCGTACACCATAAAATTAATGCTTATAAGAGGTGGGGTAGAAAAAAAGAGCCGCAAAATCTATAACTTTGTACTTAATATGGCGTGTGGGGGATGTTTTCACAAATCTGAAATTTTTTAGAAAAAAAATTTAACTTTATTTTATTACCTTTAATATTTCCACGTTATTACTGCTCCATAGACTTTAAAAGACAGTCGGAACATTCAAGGATAGGCCCTGATACGAGCAGTCTTGTTGATTTGTAAACATAACCAGGCAAAATTGTACTAGTCGGTGTATCAAGCGAGCTGAGTTAGATTTTAGTTTACTTTGGAGTTTTGCACTGAAAAAGCTTCTCAGAAAAACTAAATTTATGTAGCACATAAAAGTATGAATTATACATCGTTTAAACTGCAGCTAATCATACACAAAGACAAATTATGATACAACTAAAAATTAAGCTTTTTAAACTAATAAAATGAATGGAGTCTGTTTTGTTTTGGTATCTTCAACACGGTTGTAATATGAAGCCTTATAAAGTGTTTAAGTCTTTTTCTTTTAGGCGACTGCAAATTAATGTGACTCTAAAAGTTCGCACGGAAAATGGAATTTTTGTAGCTTTCGATAATGGATTTTTAAAACGAAGAAGCCACTTTTCAGGATTTCTAGGAATTGATATATTTTCAGATATTTTTTCTGATATATTTTCAGTAAAACTATTCAAGTTTTCATAACCAAACTTTTGAGGAAAACTGCGAATCTATATTTTCTTAAACATTGCCTTCTAAAAGTAAAACTTTTCCCAATTTTCATTATCAAATTTTTCAGAGATTAACTCCCAGATGCTTATTTACAATTTAATCATTTTCTCAAGTGTTAGTAGCTGACTCTTGATGGTATTTACATTTAAAATTTCAGAGCAAGTTTTCAAGAAAAACACTAAAGCAAAAAAGCACAAATCCAAAATATGGCTGCAATTCGAATAAAGTTTTTTATGGCTTTCTATCATTAAAACTTGTTATTGCAGATCTACTTCGGATTTATGTCGAAAAACATTTATATCAAACTACATCTGATCTATATTATATATAACATTTATCTAGAACTAAACAACAGCATTTGTAGAAACTGTTTGCTGGCTGCCCTTCGCTTGGACCAAAGTCACCTTTGGCGGCCAGATCCAGTTTCGAACCTGGTCCCATTTCCTCTGACACCATCGCTGTCGGCTTCTCCAGAACATCTTCTGGTTGATATTAAACTGGCGGTTGAAAAACGCGTAGACGAAGTAGTTGATGATGAAATTGCAGTTGTATATGTTCATTGAGAATGCGTGGAAATCGAAGCGCACTTCGGGGTCGAACTTTCCCCTGAAGATTTCGATTCCGTTGAAGATTATGTTGGGCGTGACGAAGACGATGAATCCGATGCTGACTATGAGAAGTGCAGTTGTAGCCCCGCCCATTCTTTTCCTGAAACAAATAGACGATGCATGAAAAATAAATCGTTAATTTTTAATAATCAGATATTCAGTTAAGGCTAAAACTTACGAAAAAGGCAAGAAAAAAGTTTTTGAGCGTTTTTGACAAATTTTGACGAAAAAATTGCGGTTTTTTACGCGCCTGCGCTCCTCAGAAATATTTTATGTATTGAAGCCGAAGGCGCACTTAGAAGAAAAATTTTAATGTTGGTCAACTTAAATTAGATGCCGTAAATTAGCCCAAAAGATGGAGTTTTTGGAAAACTTTGGCTACCACAGTTGAAGGGTTAGTTAAGGAGGGCTGATTTGGGCTTTTTTTTCGGGGGAAATGCAATGCTGTTTAAGAGCTGATTCTTTAGTGTACGTCCAAAAATCCTCACTTGCAAACGTTCTTACAAAAAGAGTCGGCTGAACGTTACGACATCAAATTTAACAGAGATTCCCAGCAGTTTTCTATACCAGAGGTAGATTTGAATTAGGGTAACATCAAATGTAAAAGATTTTGATCTCCCATTCTGTACTTGTTCATGTGGGATATATGCTTAAATGAACGTGTTTGTCAAAAAAACTAGGCATTTTTTTAACCAAGTTTCCTCCTCTTGGGCGAAAAACAAGAGCAGCTTAAAGTTATTACAAAATTGGTTACTATCAGCATAACTTTATTACTTGAATCGCTAACCTTGGTCTGTTTTTTCCAATTGCGGCTTTCGGTTCATTTTTGTTCAAAACTCCCGCCGAGTTTCTCTCCGGCACGAGCGTCCCGTGCGATACTCGGGGCGCAGATTTTTCCCTCTCGGCGTTTACCCTCAAAGAGTTTTCCGGGATTTCTTTGAAGGCCTTTGGTTTATCACCGAACACAAAACTGTGAATTTCTTGTGAACTGTTTGTTGGAGTTCCAATTCGATTTAGGACTGGAAATTTGGTTTCAGCTAGCGGTTTGATAGTCTTTTCGGCTATGACGGAAACATTTTTGTCATTTGTCTCCAGAGCTGTTGCCGACTTGGTTTTTTCTGGTTTTTCACCCGCCACCTTAAGAAAATCTAAATCGTCAGCACTCGGATTTTTGTTTAAAGTGGATGGATTTTTGCGCGGTGACTGAGGACTCGCCGAGATACGACGAATGCGAGGGCGCCTATTCTGTTCTTTCGAAGAGTCGTGTTCCCTGGACGAAATTGAGACGTTGTCGGGACTGTCCGCAAGATGTGTTCGCGGACTTTGTCGTTCCGTGAGTGGAGTTGTTGCTGTCGGATACAAATAAGCTGGGGGAGTTAAATCAGTGTAATATAGCAATGCGGGGCTTGACATTGGGGTGAAAGCCGGACTCAAATACGTCCGCATAGACCCAGCACTGATTTTTTTGGTCCTCGACCCAGCGTTATTGTTATTTCGCGAATCGGTCATTTCGAAATTTTGCTGTCGGAAGCTTCGACCCGTTGCCGGAGACGCTCGGCTCTTGGGGTTCGGAGATCCATTTCGGCAACTTTCGTTTCCTGAAAATATTTCCAACCGTCATTTCGTCGGCTCTTGTTTGAAATAAATTTGCTTGTCATTATTTATCCATTACATTTTATTGATTTTCCAATCTGACAAAAAATGCAACGATTGTGTTTTGACAAGGAAGTTCAATTGCAAAAACGTAGGTTAAAAATTTCTGAAAAACCCTTCACTTAACTCCGTATTCAAAAGTTGGTATCAAATTGTTTTTTGACGTTTGGATTGCTTACACAAAAACAACCAATACAAAAATAACAAATGGACAATAATATTTTTTGCATTGAATTATAAATAATTCAGATAAAGTTGAAAAAAGAAAAAGCAAAAGTTTGAAGCTAAATTGAGTATTAATAAGAACAAATTGCTTTCAAGAGAAGTCAGTACATGAAAAAAAAAATTAAGAATTCTTTTACAAAAAAAAATTACTTTAGAGAGCGCCGTAAGATTAAATCTAGCCTGTTTTCAGGCGTCTTAAACTCAGTAAGTTTAAAAAAACTTACTTAATAGTTACATAACATGATCTAAATTTGATGTGATGCAATTACATAACATGATGTGTGTGTGTGTGTGATGTGATGTGATGCAATTACATAACATGACGTAATTGACCTTGAATGACGAAGCTGCGCTCTATGTCCCCGCAGGAAGAAGGCATCGAGTGCCGTCTTAGAGTCATTTTGAGCTGTCTGATTCTGGTCAGGATCAGAAAGTAGACAACCACCATCAGCACACTGTCAATCGCCAACATCGAACACCTGACAAAAAAAAACACAAATCATAAATTGCAGCCATGATAGCAATACCAAATTGTTGTCGAGAAGCAATTCAGCCATGATAATTGATCTCATTTCTTCGACAACAGTTTTGAAATCATATCGAACCTTCGAGAGACTTTTTGAATCTTAAGTTAATTTACTTATCATAAACAATCCAATATTAGGATCTAAGCAAAAATCTATCAAGAGAAGCAATGAAACATTCAAAAATGTTTTTCATAATAAAGAAGAAGTTTCAGTCAATGCCTTCGACAGTACAAGAATTGTATGTTAGGAGTTTTTCCGACAAATTCTACTAGAAGTTTTCTGACAAGCAGCATTTACTCTAGTAAAAAGGTCACGAGGACACACGAAGTTAGCTGAAAAGGAGTTTTAATAATATCTGATTTTTTTCAACTGCTGTTCACTATTTTTTTTTACGTGAAAATTACACGATATGCATTTTTTGACAAAATTGAAAAATTTATTTTGACAGTAAATTTATTCTCAATCATCAAAACCACATTTTGAACTCATTTTAAATAAGCTTTTTTAAGTTTTTTAAGTGAGTACTAAAAGCTTATTCTTTTCTCTAGAAAAATGCTTATCATACAATTTTTATATATGAAAATTGTATGGCAAGTATTTTTCAACCAAAAAAAGTCAAAACAATCTCAACCTGCAAAAACCTATATTGAAATTGCGTGAGCGGATATTGAGTCCGCCTTAGATATTGTTCCAAGTTCGTTGAAGAAAGCTATTGATAATAATTGATAGGTTACCAGGAGTGAATTTTACCACATACATTATATTACGTATTGAAGGATGAGTTTTGGAAATTCTCATTTTTGTTACGTTTTCGTTTTTTGCCTTGATTCGAGCAGTCTTTTCTAATTTTTCCCAAGGCGTTAAGTTAAGTATATTAAATGAATTTAGCGTCTAGTTACGCATTAATAAGACCAAATCAGTTTCCTATCCTCAATTTGAAAAAGCTTCTGAGCCGGATGATAGTGAGAACTATATCACGCAAAAATAACTTTAAATTGGTATTTTTCAAAACTGGAAGAAAATAAAGCTTACAAAAGTCAATTTTTTAATCCATTTTTTTGAATTTTTGGAACAATATAGCCTTTCGGGAAAAAAACGTTCATTCTGATAATTGTTCCAACTCTTGAAGAAAGTGATGAATATATAACCCAGGGTTGGATTTTTTTATCAGACCAAATTTAAAAAGAAGTTAGTCTCTGGGGATCCATGCATGGATCTTCGTGGGCCAAGTTCGCACACCCCTAAATGAACCTGACACGAAGCTAGCTAAACTACTCTTTTTGTACTTTGATGCTGAAAAAATAACACGCAATTTTCACCCTTGACCAAATATCCCACTCTACAAGTCCTTCCAAATTGAATTGAGGCAAGCTAAGTGGTTTTATTAATTCCACAAACGACTCAAAGCTTAGAACTTAAAACTTGAAAGAATCAGCTCATAGTTAATAGTTTGTCAATATTTCATTTAAAAGCTTTTTTGAGGCCAGTTGAACGGCAATCGGAGGATTCAGGGTTTTGCCCTAATGCGTTCAGTATTGTTATTTGTATGAAAGGTTGATCCGAATAGTTGCGAACCCGGCAACTAGCATAAAAAATGTATGAGCTTGCATAAATTCGCTGAACTAAAATAATTATTCCCTTCAAAATGAAACTGAAACAACCAATCGCAATTTTTACCAACAAAGGGCTTGAGTTTTTTGATAGCTATTTCGAGTTTTATGTCTACGGTAAACCGCAAAATAGAGTGACCATTACTGTCATTTTTTTCTGCGCCACTGGCAGTTTGTTTTAAAACACGCCTCTATGAGAAATTGGCTCGCGCTCTTTTTTGACGCACACTAATCACGCAAATTTTTATACAGTTTACAGAAAATAGGGCTTTAATAATAGTTTCTTTTCAGGAAAAAAATGTTCAAGGATCAATTGCTCTATCCCCTTTGTTTTACTTTTTGGTTTTTTAGAACTTCAGTTTTAAAAATGATAAATGACTTAGAATTAATGGATCAAAATGCATTTAAAAATATTTTAAAATCAAGGTTTTCCGATCTAATGAAACAATTAAAATTTCACTGAAATCTGATAAATTATTTTATTTTTTAATGTTTTAGATTTTGATAAGAATTGAAATTAGAATTTCGATGTATATGCCGGCTGATACAGCATTTAAGTCGAATTTCATGCTGGTCGATCAACCGCCTCATTGTGATGACTTTTTGAAGAAAATGATGAACTATTTGTGCTCGGGTTGTTTTTTTTTCCAGGCCATTTTCAATTTTTTAACTAATTATTTTAAACAAAACTGTTTTAACCATCTGAAAAAAATACTGACGTGCTCAGCTCGAATTTAAAGATACGTTTTACCTGTGATCATTTTTTGGGTTATACCGGCTAGATTTTTCGGGCTATAAATGCGTAAGCCGGTGTTTAATCCGCGCAGAAATCGTTCCAAATTGAATTGAGACAAGTTTTTTGGTGCACTTTTTATGTTACTAAACACTAAGATCACTGCTTTGCATAGCGTCTATGGGGAAGTGTTCGAAATAGAAACCCAAACAAATACACAAAAATTTTTAAATGATTTTTTAAAAATTTTTAAAAAGACATTGAAGAGTAGTCAGAACAATCAAGGCTTCACCCTGATACGATCAGACTTTGAGCTTTAGAAATAAACATTTTTATCACTAAATTACTAAAATAATGAAAAAATTACTGAATTTTGAGTAGTGCCTCTGAAAGGTTTTTTTCCCTCTATATCACGACATATGAATTTGCTACCCACTTGAATGCTAATAATCTAGGCTGCATAATGTGCTAAATTCGGAAAAAGTTCTTGATTTTTTGTCAGTTTTATATAATTGACGCAGTTGAAACGACGAACAAAAATGTAAATTGGTCTGCATCTTACCATCTCAAGAGCGCTGATATGACAGAAAAGTGTCCAGATTAGCACTCGAAAGGGAAAATAACCTACGTAATGTAGACACCAACCACGACGAACAATTTAACTCTCAGAAAATGAGACTTGAGTTTTAGTTGTGACGCAAATTATTGAAAAAAAACTTTTATAGGCAAAAACTAAAAAAAGACTACCGGAGCTGTGTCTGAGTTACTTGATTGATAGCTTTCGCCCGATTTTTTGATCGCATTAAGGATTTTAACATTTTTGCAAGTAATTTTGTAAAGCTAGGTGTGTTGAAAATAGTTTTTGACTGGTTAAGAGGCGCTAGATATATCCACTTATTTAAGTGTTTTCATCGTTCGAATTAACTTTCTCTCAAAATCATTCCAAATTGAAATGAGAGTAAAAACAATCAGCCTACGTTTATCTTATAAGATCTTGTATGATAAAATATCGTTTAAACTTGATTGATTGTAATTCAATTTTTTAACCAAAAAAAATTGGAGTCCAATTTAAAAGCAGCCGGGTCAGGGTCATTCAGAGTTCTTGAAAGCAAGTCTATTTTAGGACCAAAATTTTGTCGACCTTTTTTTTGTTTAAGGTCGACCGACCATATTGATTTTCGAGCTCTCCCAAACCACTGAAAAAGTTATTTTTTTGGCCAAATTTTCTGTACCGCAGGCATTTTTCTAAAAGATCAGTCCAAAAAAGGCATTTTTTTTTGGAACATTTTGACCAAAACATCACTTTTATTCAGCGCGCACTCCCATTTTAAAATTACTATATATTGGCGCCTTAGAAAAAATTTTAGAGTCCGTCACCACGTAGTTTTTTTTTTTGGGGGGGGGGGGGGGAGGGGAGGGTGAGATGTCAACTTGGATCTAAGTTGGATTTTTCGGCCAATCAGAATCGAGCACATTTTACAGGCAGCGATTAGCAATTTTAATAGGTATTAAAGGCTGAGGTGGAGGTGGAAGATCTTAACTTGAGCTATCTGTGGGGGGGGGGGGGGGTATGCTGCATTGATGCGTAAATGACTGAAACCTGTCCTAATGAAATTGTTTTGCAAATGATAAGAAAAAAGGTGTTTGATGAACAAAGGTCATTTTCTCTTCAAATTGATGATCAAGTAAAGCGTGAAACGAGTTATTCAGGTTTCAACCAGGTTCTAATTAATCTCTCGTTGCTTTTAAAATGCCGCCAATTAAGGTAATTTCAGGGAATTCCAAGAATTCAGCGTGATTTCAAGGGAATGATTTTTTTCGTTTCTTTTATTGTAACCTAATAACTCGTTTAACCAAGAAGCTCTCAAATCATCTGAATATAAAAGACACTTCTGCGCAAATGGTCTTGACAAAATTTCACAATAAAACCATATTAAATTTTGTTTACTAGTTTTCAATTTTTGTCTTCAAATAACTACTCCCTAAAAATTTCTAGATATGAAGAACTTTTTTATGCTTAAGATAAATTTGCGGCTATAGTAGATACAGTTGAAAAAATAACCTTACTGAATTAAAATTGTTGTAAAACCGATTCGCTTGCCTGATTTCAACAACTTGAAATTCTTAATTGAGCGCATTAAAATTTCGACTAAGTCAAACGCGCTCAATTCGTTAAGAAGCACAGTAAAAGGATGTAATGCCCTCACAAATTAGTTCAGCCAGCTGGTCAAATTTTCAACCCTCTTTAAGCGTACGAAAATTTGGAGAACCTTACAATTTTCATTTTTCAACTCCAATGTTTTAATGTTTTTATTTTAAAATAGTGACCAAAAGTCTAATACTTTCACATCTATCAAGCTTTTTCACATTGCACAAAAACCAGTCAACTAAATAAGAGATAGCTGAAATTGTCACAAGAAAAAAGAGACCTCTCGTAAAAGATCACCGTTCGCTTGTAAAAAATTTGTTAAAATTCTAATTAAATTTTGTCCAAAAAGATCTTTAAAAACAGGCAATTTTAGAGAGTAGCATGACTGCTCGTACCAGGGCGAAGCCTTGAAAGTTCCGACTGCCTTTTAAGGTCTATGGATTAGCAACAACATGAAAAAATTAAATGTCATAAAATAAAATGGAAAATTTTTTTTTTCAAATTTGAGAATTATTGTGAAAATCATCCCCCCAAACGCCATATAAAACACAAAGTGATAAACTTCGCTCCTGTTAACAAATCAAATGTGGCAAAAAGCTTCTTTCAACCATTTCCAACAATTTCCAAGACGGATTAAATCTCCGCTTACGCGCTAATAGCGCGAAATATATCGCGCGTTAGTTGTCCCAAATTGGCCAAAATGGCAATACTTAAAGCCTCAAAACTTTACAAAAATTGATCACAGGTGAAATAATTTTTCAAATTTAAACTCAGGACAACAATACCTTTTGAATGTTATAAAAAATTTTTGTCAAAAATGGCAAGTTAAAAGGTCGAAGTTTGTCTGAAGAAAAAAAACACCCACCCCGAGCAGAAATATTCCGTTACTTTCGTTCCGAAAGTCGGAACAATAACCTAATTTTGCACTGAATTTTGTCCACTTATGTATCACTCCACACGCTAAAGTAAAATATAAAGAGATGTTATTAGCGCCTTGTATTCTATTGATATGACCAAATGACTCGCCTGAAGTTAGTTTGGAATGCATAAATACGCCGCTCACGCGTGTTATAAGAACGCAACATAGCGCGTGTTAAATAGCAATTTTTAAACCCCTAAATTTTAACAAAAGTTGGTCACAGGGAAGATATTTGTTTAATTTAAACTCAAGACAACAATATCCTTCAGGTGCCAAAAAAAATTCTGTAAAAAATGCTTAGTTAAACAGTCGAAAATTGACTGAATTTAAATACATAGATATATATAAGTAACCAATCGCATTCGTGCTTGGAACTTTTTTTGCGCTTGAAAACATTATAGCTGCCCACGGTCTGTCTAGCACTAAAAACATTCCATTTAAACTTATCCGAAGATAGGTGATTCGATCGTATTATAAAAAAAATCGTTATAAAAACACAGTTTTTCAGTATTTTGAATAAATTTACACAATAACAAACAAAACTGCGCGTTTCAGGGCAAAAGTAGAATATAGCCGGATAAAAACCTTTAAAACCTGTTTTCAAGTTGTAGTTTGTCTATCTAATTAGAAAGCGTCTGAGAGGCGTTCCGACTGTCCATAAACTGGTCTCGAATAGTTTTTGTTTTATGAAATATGTACAAAGTATGAATGATAGACTGATAATATTAAGAGTCGTGTAGGGAATTAAAAAGAAAATTTAACTTGCCTCATTGAATATGGAACAATTATGAGGTGCAGGATAATTCGCAAACGTAAACAAGCAGTAATGCGTTACTGCTTCAGCATGATTATATCACTGTGCTCTTATAGTCTTGTTAGTGAGCATTTCATAATTGTTTGTAAGTCAGGATAGTGTAGTGGTGATTGCCCCCTTCTAGGAACCCGAACGTCTATGGAGAAGTGTTTTTGAGAGTTGGTGTGAATAAAAATACACCCCGTGCATACAAATTCTTTATGTCAAAGTTTTGAATTTTAGAGCAGACAATCAAGTAGAAGAAAGCCGGATAAAAACCGTTAAAACCTGTTTTCAAGAAGTTTGTCTATTTAGTTAGAGAGGTGTTTCTTTACCAAAAAATCTCCGAAAAACAGAAGAATCATTTTAAAATTTCTGACTTGAAAACATTCGTTGAAAAATGTTCAAATTTCAAGCGAGAATCTTAAGTAGTTGTAGAGAAAACGGCAAAAAATTGTAATTTTTTTTTCATTTTATCGCTTGAAAACCAAAAGTTGCTTTTTCTATGCCCCGTGACTGAATTCAGCATTAAACGGAATCAGCGCAGTATTTTATAGCGTTTGACAGATTTATAGTATAACGGAAGCGTTACGGAACTACGCATCTATCAGAATATCTTAAACTGTCAACGACAAACTTTTTTTATACTTTTTAAACGCATCTGACATTCAAAACCACTTGAATGATAAAATTAGGTCAAAACTTCCAATCATGCTTCCTAAACTTATTCTGCCATTTGATTTTGTGACATAATTTCACAAGGATTTTTGCCTTTTAGTTGACTTTTTTTCTACCCCTGTGTTTTCAGTTCCTCTCCCTTTTCCCTCCTTTAATTTTTAATGAAATGATTTTTTCTAAATGCTTTTCAAGGAGTTTTTTGCTGCTAGAAATAGTTCCTAAATTATATCTATGGGAGCAACTGAATAATTGTTAAATGTTATCTCATATATAAATAATGTTATATGTTATTTTTATATATAAAATCTTAAACGTTATTTTAAAATGTGAGAACAATTTCTTGTCTACTTTGTTTTCTAGTTTTATGAGGGGTGCATAAGTGGAAAAGATCCTCCACCCTTAAGTTCTAAGAGGCTAATTCTAAGATGAAAGGGGGTAGTTATTAAGATGTCCCGAGAGCCGATTTACCTTATGATGAACCAAACGGAGTTGTGAGCCAGTTCGATTTTGTTCAGACTGATCCAGAGGATGTGTGTGTCCTTCTGGGGTCTGCAGTACTCTATGAGGAAAATGAGGGCAAAGTCCAGTAGGCCGAAACAGAGGGCCAATGTGAAGGAACCGACCAGAACTGCTATAGTCTTCACATACGTGAACATCGTCCTAAAAACAAACAATGACAGGTTCAGAGGGGTAATATAGGGTGACCCCTCTCCCCTCGGGGACTTGGTCCACTCAAGGCCCAAAGGGTCCCCCTTTGAAATTAATCTATGAGATACATTTTTGACTGACTGACCTTGAAACTTTTCATAAGATTTTTATATTTAAAAAAAGCTGCTCAAATCAGGGAAAACATTAAATATTCTGACTGTATTCTGACTCTATAACGTATTCTAAGTAATTTTAACAAAAAACGATACAACTTTTTAAAAATAGAGCTAAGTTTTAGCTTCAAAATTTTAAAATTGATCTCGAAGTTTGTTTATTAAGTCAAAATTTGTTTGATACAAAATATTTTCTTGTGCGCTTTCTTGAATAAAAATTATATTGCCTAACACTGAGAACTATCATCAAGAAACAAACAAGACTGCTCGTATCAGAGTGAAGCTCTGATTGTTCCGACTGTCTGCTAAGGTCAATGGAGTAGTGTTCACTAATAAAAATAGAATAAAAAATAATGTCGATCTAACAAACAATACCCCCCCCCCCCCCTTACGGTATATAAAGAATTGCCACCCCTATGAATAAAAAATGTAAATTAGCACTAGAGCGCTCTATTTATATTTCGAATTTTGCTGCATTATGATTATCGAAATTTCAACTAACTTAATCTACTTTCCGACTACCCTCCCCCGCTTTTTTGAAAAGAGGTAATTGTTAAGTACATCCAAAATTTTCAAAAAATGAAAAAAAAATTATATTTTTTTTTCAGATTTTTCCTAACTAATCCCTAGCACGTTATGTAAAGTACAAAGTTACATAGTTTGTATATAGCAAACTATTCTTGTTCCAACTTCCAAAGAAAATGAGGAATCTAATTAACTGGGGTAGTTTGGGGTCTTGTCGGTTATACACCCCTAAATGAATAATTTTGGCAATTCAAATTTCGAGTTGAATCTCAAAGCGCTGAAATAATTTTGGCAAATCAAATTTCGAGTTGAAACTGAAATTACTTTTACGCTTTGTTGTTTGTGGTTTTCCAGGTGGCGTCCCTCATGCTTGAAGGACCGAATGCTTGAAATTAATTTTAGCTTACTTTCCGCCAATCAGAATTGAGTATTCAAAATCTCAAAATAAATCGTGAAAATCTCAAAGTAAGGAAAAAAATCCAGGCCATTAGTGTTAATATTGTCCGATTGGATAATAAGCAGATGAGTTTTCAAGACTAAAAATTTCGTATGATTTCGACCTCATTAATTTTGACAATTATCTGAATAGTATTGGGTTGTAACCCGCAATTCGTAATTTTTTTTATTGTTTTCCACTGATTTAATACATTTGCTGTTAATATTGACTTCGATTTTGTGAGAAAAGCATTTAGCCAGTAGAAACGCCTGACGATTTTGATTGGTTGAAATTTTTCAAGCATTCGGTCCTTCAAGCATGAGAACCCTCCCCGTTTTCCAGGAGGTAAAGACAAAAGGTTCCACTTTTTTCTTAAAAAACTATTAAGTTCATTTTGCAACCTGCCCTTTTTCAACATCAGCTGACAAAATTGCTTCCTCATAATTGAGAAGAACTTTGTTAGAGCTGAAATCTAGTGAAACAAACAATTAAATACCACTCGCATGCAATTAACAGCTTCTCGATTAGGAAACAAAAGTATACGAGAAATTCATCACTAGGTTTCCTATTCGAGCAGCTGCTAATTGCACGCGAGTGGTATTTAATTGTTTGTTTCACTGTCTTTAGCACTTTGAGCTTCAATTTGAAATTTGAATTGCCGAAATTTTTCATTTAAAAAGGGTATAACCGAAAAGACCCGTACTTTGTTTTATTCGGACCATTTTTGCCCGTCTGGGTGCTCGACTGCTGGATCTACGTGAGTGCATTACCGTGCGCGCACACCACTATGTTACTCTACCTGTCATTTCAAGCCAAAAAAAGTCTGCCTAAATTGCTTCTTCGATGCTATACTTTGATGCTGAAACTTAAACGCAAAATAATTACGCCTGACGAATTAACCTGCACTATTAAATCGTTTCAAAACAAGCAAGCTAATTGGTCTGATTAATTTTATAGACGACTCAATTTTTAACGGTTAAAGTTTGATTTTATCAGCCTTAAACCAGTTAGAGGGCAATCGAAACATTCACAGTTTTGTCACGAATAATACGAGCAGCCTTGTCTACAAGAAATAGCTTGCCTCAACTCAAGTTGGAACGATTCCTGAGACGGATTCAATTTTAGCTTACGCGTTAATAGCATGAAATATATCGCAAAAATTGTCCAAAATCGGCCAAATTGGCAATCTTTCAACCACCATAACTTCACAAAGTTGATCACAAGTAAATTATGTTTTTAATTTTGAGCTTAGAACAACAATATGTTTTGAGTGATATAAAAAATCCCGTCAAAAATGCCTAGTTAAAAAGTCGAAGTTTGTCTGGAGAAAAAACCACCCGACCACAAATATTCCGTCACTTTCTTCGAAATTTGGTACAAAAATTATAATTGTAATAAAATCATTTTTGTTTTAAAAAATAGACCCATTGCGTTAAGCAAAAAGGCAGAACAGCTGTCGATATAGTTTTGACTTTGCAAAAAGACTGCAAAGAGAAACTTTGCTAAAAGATTTGTGTCTCAAGTCAAAGAAGTTCATTTTGACATTTTGAGCTAGTTGTGGCCCAGTTTTTAATCTAGTAAAAAAGTCTCCACTTTCAGACTGACGGGAGTTCAATTAACAAAAAGTTCCAGTGAAGACGTGATCAAATTAGTCTCAATTAAATTGCACCGGATGTGGAAGAGTTCTAAAATTCGAGAATGTTGGAAGATAGTTGTCAATCATTCCAATTCAATTTGATAATGGAGTTGACATTTTGAGGATGAAACGTGATATTGCATTTAATTGACGCTTATCCGCCCGACGAAAAACTAATTGTAATTGGTTGAAATTGACTTGGTTTCAATCCGAATAAAACAATTCCAAATGGGGGGGGGGGGGGGAGGTTGATTCAAAACTTTTTGTTGTACAGTAACGTGCTGAGAAAGAGGAGTTTTCCATACTATGGATTTTTTAAACAAGCATTTTTCCATACTATGGATTTTAACAAGCATTTTTCCATACTATGGATTTTAACAAGCATTTTTCCATACTATGGATTTTTTTAACAAGCATTTTTCCATACTATGGATTTTAACAAGCCTTTTTCCATACTATGGATTTTAACAAGCATTTTTCCATACTATGGATTTTTTTAACAAGCATTTTTCCATACTATGGATTTTAACAAGCCTTTTTCCATACTATGGATTTTAACAAGCATTTTTCCATACTATGGATTTTAACAAGCCTTTTTCCATACAATGGATTTTAACAAGCATTTTTCCATACTATGGATTTTTTTAACAAGCATTTTTCCATACTATGGATTTTAACAAGCCTTTTTCCATACAATGGATTTTAACAAGCATTTTTCCATACTATGGATTTTTTTAACAAGTATTTTTCCATACTATGGATTTTAACAAGCCTTTTTCCATACTATGGAGCTGTATGATAAGCTTTTTTTCATGCTATAGAATGAAATGATAACAAATTTTCCATTAATGAAACTTCTAAACTTTTTGTATTTCGCTTTGTAACTTTGGGTTTCGTCCGGAAGCACAATAATCAAAGCTTTTCTCTATTAAAAACCTGACAGGTTAAATGCTAAAACTATTCCCGTCAAACAGCATTGGGAGAGTGTGGCATTTAACTTAATGAACAGAAATTCGCACAGAAGCATAGCTTAGCATTCTGTATTTGAGGAGGAAACTTCTACTTTGAAGTTTCAATTGGTGAATAATTTGGCCTGTTTTCGACGGATTTGAAGTTTATCAAAAACCAAAAAAATAAATAGTTTGAGCTTCACTCAAAATACTGTAATTTTATCTTCTGTGTGAGAAATTTATTCTGAACTAAGTTATACACAAAAAAAAAACTAAAATTTTGAATGCAAAAAAATTGTGCAAAGTGTTTTTGATCCTTAAAAAGAGAAATAAATCTTTATTTTCCTCAAGCTTAGCGTTTTCGGGACTTTTTTGTCCATTTTTTGGCAATAGGTGAAACTTTATTTTGTATCACTAAAGTGCTTGCAATCAACAGCAAAAAAGATTTCAAATGTAAATTTCGCCCTCTCCTGGATCTCAGAACGAAACTAAAAATCTACACAAAAATTATTTTTCACCTGCTGCGATCATTCAAAGTTACCAGGGCTTAAGTTATACCTATTTACCTAATTTATGATAATTAATGCGCGCCAAAGATAATGTTTCCCTGGAGGCGGTTGAATACGATGAGCTTTTTGAATCAAGACAAAGTAATTGTTCATTCGTTCTTGAATTTTTTTGAACTTATTGAAACTATCACTTTTTAGCATTAATTTTAAAATTGTTCGTTAAACTTCCTGTAAACTGATAGAAACCTCATTGCGACGAATGTAATTACCAAAAAATTTTGACAATTTTAAATTTCATTTCTATTCATTTAATTAGTCTGAGATGATTTTGTCTGAGAATGTTTAGACTATTCACTAGAAAATCAGTTGGACTAAATACCAAACTAGAATTAGCTTCTCTGTATTTGTAACCATTTCCTCGAATTCCAGTCAATTTAGACAATTAGTTTGAAAAAAAAATGAGTGAAATTTGAAAAAAATTACTGAGCCCATTGTCAAGGAAACAGACTGAAAATCTGTAATGATGTTTTTCTCTGGATAAATTTAGTTCTCTTTTTGATCTATAAAAACTGAAAATGTAAAAAAATTCAATTGCAATCTTTTAAGGTTATCAGGGCTAAATTTTCCCGATTTGCTTAATTTATGATAATTAATGCACATCACGTATTTTGTTTTCCCTGACGGCAATTGACTGCAATAAGTTTTTTGAATCCGGATAAGCTATATCTTCTTCATTCGCTTTTGAAATTTTTTGAATGCGTTGAAATGATCATTTCAAAGCTT